GCCCAGAAGAGTCAGCAGTGACAAAATGCAGCTGTAGGGCTCCTTAACAGCCCAGATCTGCAACTGCAACAGCACCAGTGCCTTCCAAACTAATGAATTCAGAGAAAAATGAAGCAAACACTTCTCCAGTATCCAGACACTGTTTGTTTCTCAAGACTGGATTTCTAGTGTCTGAGGAATAAAGAAAAAAAAAATTAAGAGGCAACAGAACATGATCATCTTTCAAGAGGCAGCAGAAAGTATTTGGACAAGAGACAATATCACCCACTGAGACATGAGTATGACCTACAGAGTGCAATAAAAATTATGTACTATTAGAGGACAAAGCACTGAAAAGAAACGAACTGAAAGACTGATTAATTTATGATACCCAAGATATGAAGCAAATTAAGACTTGTACAAGCATGTGGGTGGCTGATGAGCTTAATTTATTTTGGAGACTGAGTGACAAGGGGCTTTTTACATAATTATTTATCAAGTGGCTCCCCTGCTTGTCACTTTTTGGTGTTATAAAGTGCTCTTAAGATTTTTGGAGAATAAACAAGCGTGAACAGCCAGAGAGTAGTTTTTAGAATCACTCAAACAACAAATAAAACTATGTTTAGTATGAAAAGGAGAACAGATGGGGCATCCACACTGTAAGACACAAGCATGGGAAATAACTCACACTATATATCCTCAAGCCAGAGTGTGCTTTAATAGTCAAGGAAGTGCTTGTTGGCCTCTTCACTCAACCACAAACAGAAAAGAACAAAAGAAAACCAAACATGTTTATGTGGCTACTCTTCTTTTTCTCAGCCTTGTCTTTTCTAGAGGAATTTTACACAACAGAAGTTAACTCCATGAAGATAGAAACCCATGAAACAAACCACAAAACAAACAAGATATTAAAATTGGCCCAACTGGAACAAATGTTTCACCTGGAAGTTGTATAATATTTGTAGGGTTCTCTCATTTCAAATAAACTCTGATGGGAGTCCTGCTCCAGACTACAGCAGGTAAATAAATACTTTGTTGTCAGAGGACTGAGCTCACCATGTACCCTTTTCATCATCTCATTTATTTTCAGGACAATTTAAGAAACCTGGTTTCTTTAAGACTTATCTTACTACCAAATGTAGCTGCAACTGGAAAATAGGTTCCAAATTATCGGTGGGAGTGATGCTCCCAAGGAATGTGATAGCAGGGCCTTCATTTACTTAGGAAAACAGAGGTGTTAAGGTTTCTCTGATGGAGTTAGAGAAAGTAATGTAATATTTACACAGGGAAGTAGTGCAGGAAGATACAGATAAGGATATTATTCCAGTAGGTATTATATCACCTTAGCAACCTTCTGTAAAAACGAGGCATGCTAAAATAAGAGGCTGGATTTCATAACACCAGTATTTCCAAAATGCTTCCAGACACCCATATGCACCATCTTAAGAGAGAGATGAGAAACAACATACACCCCCCCAAAAAGGGGATATTAGTGGAGGCAATAACAAAACCAGACACAAAATAGCCTTCTGAGGCAGAGTGCTCTCCTAGTTACCAACTCCATATTGCCTTCAGCAGCCTCAATCTCCTTAGTGAATACATTTCAGAATAAAACATTCCAATGATCAAGCTGCTGCTCCGACACCAGGCCAGCAGATAAAACCTTTGCAATGCAAGTATTTTTGATTTACTGTTACACCAGATTTTGAAATGCATCACAACAACACAAAAAGCCATGACCAGTCTGAGCCTGGTGATGGGAATATTTTACCTTTTGCCTCAGCAATCTGCTTAACACATCCGGACTCCAAATTTTCTAAGACAGCCTGCAAACCTGTAACCTAATTTTAAAAAGAAAAAGAACAAGAGGAGGGAGGATGAGAACATGGCTTTTGAGGTATCTGTTCACAACACACACCACTTATGCCTCTGTACCTAATACATTTCATCTATAATTTTTTACTTTTGATTAGTGTCTCTAAGTTATGACAATTACACCTAATTCAAGATTTTGGAAAGACCTGGGAAAACAATGCTATAAAATAAAATCACCCAGAACCTCTCACTTTTCCAGCTCTATTAAAACAAAGCAGTCATACAGAATACCAGGGCTCTGACTGCACCAGCAAGTTTTAGCCACTGCTGTCACTGCACTGATCTCTAATTTAATGGCACACTATGACCTACAGCTTTGTCACAACAAAATGTCACAAAACACGTGTTAAAACCAGTCATTGCTCTGGAAGGAGTACAGTTCATATCTGGAAAAGTCCTACTTATGTCCCTGAAATTCACAGCACTGAAACTTTCAATCTTTTGTACTCCTGAATCAGCATAAATCTGTATGGACAGTAAACCCTCATTTTCCATGGGGTATTTGCTTTTATTTATTGACATTTCAAACATATAATGCTCAGTGTTTTAAAAGTAAGCCCACAGGTGACCTGAGAAAAACTGGAGGCAAAGTAGGAAATGAGAGATGAAGACTATCAGAAGAGAGTGCAAGCATGGTAAATTCCTTTTATGTTACCCACATATGCTGCTGCTGAAGTGCATTTGCTTAGGGTTTGTTTGGGGTTCTTTCCCCCCTTCTTTTCTTGCACAAACAACATATTAGTTAAACACATGCAAGATAGTTTTCTGGTTTTCATCTATTTTATCTGTGCTTATACTGCTTCCTGCCCAAAGGGCAGAATATCTCATATACCAACCTATATATCAGACAAGATTATAGGAAAAAAATACTACTTTATTATTCCACTAAAGACAGAAAAACTGTGTCTTATCTCCTAATGTATTTTTTTCTAAACCAGTAGGTCATTCTGGGATATATTTTGGAACAAATAAAATGATAAATGATAATGAAGTTCAAACAAGCTATTTGCAAAGGCATGGATGGAAGGATGTGAATCTGTGTGAGCACACACCGTTCCTTAAGCTTTGATGTGCAAAGTGTAACGGGCTCTGCACGTGGCTGACTCAGGGAGAGCAGCACTGAGCAAGTACAGACAGAACAATTCCTCTGTGGCACAAACTTGCACATTCATTCATTACCAAATACCACAGCACTCACCAAATATTCTGCCTCAAACTACTACTGCATAAGCGGGTTGTTTCATCAGAAATATCCTATTTATACAATCAACACCAAAGGTATTTCTTACAGCCCTGTGAGTGGTTCTCACCACAGTTTTACCTGCCCCACTGCTTTGTCTCTCTCCAAACTCGTTAACATTTTCTGCTTCAGTGTAGTCTCGTATTTTTCAGACAGCTGCTTCAGGACTGGCTCATAGGATGCATAATGTGCCTTCAGCCTGGGAACACGAGGAAGAAAAAAGTATTTCTCAGAGATGAGTTAAATCAGAGAGTTGTGGCTGCAAAATTTCTCCCCTCCCCAAATAAAAGAGTAAAGGTTCCAAAAGGTCAACACAGAGGAGACAGCAAAGCTATTGAGTATGTAACAACCCAACTGCAAAACCACAAGAGAAGAAAAACCAACAGAAAACCTCAGTCAGATCAATACGAGGATTCACAGCTTGTTTGCTAGTATCTTAGAACAACCCATCTAATTCTGACCTGTTCTTAATCCTTCATACACATACTGCACAATAATTTCTGCTAATTTGTTTTCTTGCAGATGGATGGTATTTCATTGGAAGAAAGAATTGCAGCTGTTAGCTGACTACCAAACAAGATCCTCATCTAGACAAAACAGTCAGACTGCGATCAGTATTTCTTTCTTCACTGCACTTCACACTGAGAATACTCAACCACTTTAACTCCTCAGACACAGAATGTCTCAAGAGAAGGCCGTGACACAGCTCCAAAGCCACTGCACTCTGTGAGAAGCTGAACGGCCAAGGACAAGTCGATGCTCTCCTGTGCCAGCATGTCAGCATTTCAAGGCTGAACATGCAGAACACACAAGCTGCCATCACACGCACTCACTGACACCAGTCCCACCAAAACTCTGGGAATTTACTGGAGCTGAAGATGTAAGCCACTCCCCAGTGTGATTTTAAAACAAGTGCTGGCATAAACATGTGCAAAGAAGAGATTCTAAACTCAGTTCATTTTTAAAAATGAAGTTACTCCAACTCAGTAGCAATGGACTGGTTTGGACTCCTTTGCAACCAAAGCAACATAGCAAGTTTCATAGTGGTAGTTGACAGAAAATGCCAATTATGGGAATCATGAATACAAAGGTTCTGAACTCTCTGTGATATCAGTTACCCTTAAAGTGGGCAAAGGTTCCAAAAAGAAACAAACTACATATTTATGACAAAAGATCTGGGTAAAACAAAACGTCATCTATATTTCCAACTATTAGAAATACTATGTATCTATTCATGCCACATCACAACACAGAAAATACACCAAAAATAATTCAAAGTTCTTTGAGTAACATGGCAGAACTGTCAGATGGAACTGCTCTTTACCAGGACTTCAAATTCCACAATGTTATCTCATTACCAGACTATAATTCAAGACATTAATGCTACCTGTGCAGCAATTAAAATTGTTTTTTACCTTTTCATATCACAAATCAGCCTGTTTTTCTCCTGGACCACTCGTTTATGGTGCATTCGATGGAAGTCTCGTTCTTTCTGCATTTTTAAGAGAGCCTCTTTTGTTTTGCTATGTGTAAAAACAGAAAATGCAAGAGAAGTCCTATTTAATTACATCAAGCTCTGTTGAACACATATAGAATAATTTTTCAAATATGCACATGCCTACAGTATCCACATTGGAAGTTCCTGGCAGTATACTCCGTGGTGCAGAACATGTATTTTTGAGGTCTTCTTGCTGCCAGCTAAGGAACAAGGCCGTGGGTGCTCTTCCCCTTCCCTCAGATCCTTTAGACAGAATCCATTAGGATTCTGGCACTAGAAATCTCAGAGTTGAGGTCAACTTGAAGCACAAGGAGTTTCAAGGAGTTACATATTCAAGTGACAGGCAATAAGAAAATAATACTCTCGTTTGAAATTCTACATGGAAGTGCATTGGTAATACTGATAATATACTGAAAGCACTGATTTTTTTTTAATGCCTGCATCAAATCTGGAGCCCAACACTGGTACACGGTGAAAGGACACACACAGAAGGATAACTGTATTGTTTCCTTGCAAATACATTCACAGAGAGTCTTCTGGAAAATGCTGGGCTAGAAAAGCTCTCTTCAGTCACATTTGTAACCTGTACTCAAGTGTTCCCTGGATGGAACAGAGGGAAGCAAAAGGAATCCATTTAAAAATTAATTGCAAACATACTGATAACCTTTTATTCTCTAGGCACATTCCACACACAGCCATGGGACACCCATAATCATAGAGGAAAATACTCTATATATACAGTACATTTTCTCCTTGCCTTCACTGATATGGGTTTGGCAGGAAAGATTAGTAGATACATTGTTCAATTGCAAAGGAAGCTTGAAATTACTTTGCACAGAAATTAGATATCTGCCTCTTGCAAAAATAAAGCTCACTTCCTCTGCAACAGGGGGTGAAGAATTAGAAAAAACACTACGAGAAGGGAGTATGCCAAAATAACAGGTCCAGGAAGAACATCCATAACTGCTAATGCATTATATTTAATTGTACAAGCAATTTCTATTTTCTATGTTTATTACCTACAGAAACTATCATATTTACACGTGTACATTTCCATGAGAAGAGGAGAGCGAAGCACAGAAGCTCCGAGGAGCCGTGGGCACACCCATCACGTCGCGTGAGCACCAGCACAAAGACCAGGAATTGTGGAACAAAGCAACTCAGCACGTTGGTATGGGACACAAAGCACAAATTAATGATTCTGCTCAAGCTTCCACGAGCAGCAAAACATTTGAGAGGTAAATGAATCAGTGGTCTCAGGACAGTTCTGGGAAAGAGCTCCATCACGACACCACGCTCCAAATCTGACCTGCCATAAAGACGCTGAATACAAAACCTGCCCCCTCGGAGCTCACAGGTGGCTTGTTCCAAGAGGAAAAGATGCTGCACCAGCCATAGCAAATACAATATCCATTTCTTTTAGCTAAGATATACGTCAAAGCCTGCAGCTCTCTCCATCTCAACTTCTCTCCAGCAAGTACTTCCATAAAAATAGCAGCAGAGGACAGGGCCCAATAAATCCAAGTAGATTTTCCAAGGCAAGTTACATGCCCTGCTCCAAAGACGCTGCAAGCTGTAGCCCTACATTTTTAATTGGAATAAAGACAGGTTTAGAAAACAAACCCCCAATGCTTTTACTCTATCCAGGTTAGATGACAGTTGGTAGCAAACATGCTGAATGCACCACAAAATGAAACAGATGCATTTAAATATCGTGCTCAACACAAAAAGGGTGCAATTCGTTCTTCCCACTGTGTAAGCGGAGAAATACGTGCAGGAATAGTTAGATTTTGGCACAGAAATAGGAGATCAGCTGAGGATTTTATGGCTGGTGTTGGCACTAACTCTAATAATAAATGTGACTTCCAGGACTGCTTTATATTTTGACCATTACTTTGGCTATAAGCTGGGTATGTATCTGTGAGTGTACTCCAAAAAATCAGGACAGAAAGGTACCTGTGAAAGTTTATGCTTCCTGTCTGATGTTGTGAACTCCTGAAGGAAGAGCTGTGCACAATTTTCATTCCATCTACCTAATCAGTCCCTAAACATTTTAAGAGCTTACAAATACCACATAGTCCCTGTGATTAACACAATTAACATAATACAACATTTTTCTGACTACATTTGTCTAAATAAAGAGGCAATGGCTGTGGGAAAACAAAAATACATGGTATCCAAACTGCTTTAAATCATCAAATAGGCAGAATACTATTGCTATGAAATTGCAATCTATTGTCAAAAAATATGACTAGAATATTAAAGGGCAAGACATCACTGAAGACACTGAATTAGAGTTAACTAGCCTAGTATAAGAGTTAACCATTTTCAGAGTAATTTTCAAATTTTTCAGGCATATTGGAAGGAACACCTACGCTTCCACTGGGGAAATACTGCAGCAGATAACAGCCCTTCCCAATCAACCAGGGCTCACCTGCAGCCTCCAGGATAAAAGAAAGGGAGCACACCTAAGGCACTTTAAACCAGTGTCACATGGCAAACCAAAGGGAAATTAGTTTTGCTTCCTTCCACCAAACAACGGTCACTTGTAGAAATAATCTGAATAAAAATCTGCAGTGTATATCCAGACCTTAAGGTAATAACTAGAGGTAGCTATGGAGTAAAAGAATTATGCTGATATTTATTTCTTTTAATGTATGCAGAGACATCTCAAGATGCCTTCGGGCATCAGACAAGCTATAAAAAATAGAGAAGGTATACAGGAAGTGAGGCTGACTAATTCTCACTTTAAATAATAAAACGCCACAGTGAAATGTAACCAGCCTGCAATCTATTCTATTTGCCCACCTGCTTGCATGCAATCATGTAAATACTGTATTAAAATGCCCAAAATACAATTACAGTTAGCTTCTAGACACTAAATCTCTTCCATCAATTACCAAACAACATTAAAGCAGGAGGTAATTGGTTTACAGCCATTTATCCCGGGCCCCCATACTGCCTAAGTCCCAAAAACCATCTCTTCTCTGCAAGATGGTTGTCAAGAGTACCAAGCTCAGCAACACCAAATGTAATTAAAAGCTTCACAGCACTGTAGCTCTCAATCAATGTTTTCTGACTAATCCACAGAGGAAAATATGGGACTTACTTTGCTCACAAAGTCTTGCTTTCTACCCAATCAAATCAGCAATTCCTTGGTGCTCTTAAGCATCCTGTTTTCTGTGTAATTCTCTCTCAAAGAGAGAAACTCAAAGTGTCCTCCAGGTAATTCTGGCTCCCGCTGAAATATTATCTCTACCAGAGCAAAGGTACTGACTCAAGTTACTGAATGTATGAACAAGGAAATAAAAAAAGCAGTTAACAGTCACTACACTAAATGGATTTAGTATGGAGTATTGTGATCTAGGTTTATCCAAAAGACATAAAGGAACATTCTGACTCATGGTAGGTACAGCAAAAATGCTCAATGTCACTGTCATGGACTCATGTGGCTGAATTTTGAGTAATAGGGGGCTATAGAGATGATTTTGGTTAGAAGCTACCAGAAGATGGACTGAAACAACTGACCCCCTCCTCTGTCCCCTGCACTGCTAGGGGAAGGAGGGAGAACACGGAGAGAAAGAGTGTTAAGAGAAAGTGTTGTGTTTTAAGACTGTTTTATTCTTTTACTCTTTAGTTCTTACTCTGCTAGTAATAATTTAACTTTTAAATTTATTGTTAACAAACATAATCTAAGTTCTATTCACTTTGAATCTGTTTGCTTGTGAAAATTAATTAGTAAGTGAATCTCCCAGTTCTCATCTCTACTCAGAAACTATCTGGGTTTGTTTTTTTTTTCCCCTCAATTCAGAGAAAAACAGAAGGGGGAAGAGGGGGAAGGCAGTTTTCAGTAAGTGTTTAAAAAATCTGGCCAGGGTCAAAACTACAACATTCACACATTTCAACAACAGTGCAATAGTACTGGTGTAATTCATATATGATTCAAAACAATTTAAGGGAAATTAATGTCACAAGTGCTGAACTTTTAAAATTAGTATCACTGATAATTTTGTAATTTATTTGAAATAAAAAGGGTGAAAAGTGATGGAGTGACCACAAGCACAAACCAAGTTTCACATCTACATATACTCCATTCTAGTTTTAGCCAACAATCTGTGAAAATAAAGCTTACCTTGTGAGGGGAGAGAGGAGGACCAGTTTTAGTACTGTTTGAACAAGGCACATGCAGAGTTAAGTGCACTGTGTGACAGTAAATGCCAATGAAGGAAATTGGCCATTTCTAACTTGTGTCATATAGAACTGCCCTATCTCACTGTCCTCTCTGAGGTAACAAACCAGGGCCATGACTGTATCTGTTCATTTGCTACTTTAGGTTTCATCAAACACTAGAATGTGAAAAACCAGGGCACAATTTCATTTCATGGACTGAACCTGAGGGTTGGGACTTGCATTTAACAGCTGTAGGAACCAAACACACGGGCCATGTCTTTTCCCTCTCCTGCTTTCTTCCCTCTGCACGTTATCATGTCATCTTCCAACCTTTGAATTAGACATCTGCTATAGAAGGTTTTCTGGCACCTCATGGAATATAGAGATATTCTTATGGGAGAAAAACAGCTTGTTCAGACCACAGTCAAATGTTTTTGAGCTTTATGTTCTTAAATAATTGTGTAGGAATGCAGCAAACCCAGAAAAACTCTTATCAAGTAATAATCCACTCAGGTTATCTTGTTACAGCATTTTCTACTTCATACAGGGGGCAGGGGGTGGGGAGGGGGAAAAAGAAAGCAAAAAAGATGGGGAAAAACGACAATAAAACTTCTTGAAATTACTACTGACAGCGATAAGTCTCAGGAGGGCCACATTTTGGACTTGCTTCTTTTACCAGGCATTATCGCTTCTTACTCTCCTCCACTCATATGAGACACAGTCCTTAAATACCCATTGGCCAAATAAACTGCAGATTAAAGTATGAAATGTTTTCTATATGGTCTGTCTCCCAGTGCAACGTTGTGTTTAGACTACACAATATCTGCTGCTGTTTATTTAACTACTTGACTGTGGCCAATTAATTCATTCATTTAAAAGGTAATAAATCATTATAATCAGAAAATAATTTAATTATCATTATCAGCAGCAAGGCTTGTTTAAGAACTGAAGAGTTATTTTCATATAAAGGAACAATCTAGATGAAAATTAGCAGCTTGAGCAATCTTGAGGAAAACCAAAAACATGGGAGTTAATTTTTTCAGTTCCCTATTTTAAAACTGGCAAAACTGAAGCGAGTGCATCATTGGGTCTGAGGGTACCTTCATGTGCAGATGAACCATTCTCCAGAAAATGCCATGTGACATGGGAGTTTGTTATCACATCTCCCCATTCTATAGGCTAAATATTTTAACTCTCATGACTAAAGTACAGCAGACTCATAAAATCAGCTACTACAATGTACCCACAAGTATAATCAATGATGGTAATTTACACTGACACCCCATTACCACTAGGGCCAGAGTGATAGATTTGCTGCAATTAAAAGAAGAAGTGTACAGTGATTTTTTTTCCCTATGCAGAAGGTTTGTGGTAGCTGTAATTTATAGTACTGTAATACAAAACACACATAATTTATTTTTTACTTCTACCTATTACACTCTCACAATTCTCCCTAGCAATTTGTTGTGATTACTGGATATTAAAATTTATCTTTTGGCCCAGTAAAAACAAATAAAAGAAACAGGCACTTAGTATTTTTCACTAAGTACTTGGGTTTACTTTATCTGGTCATCTCCTACCATACAGAAATGATTCAACAAGACCAAATAACATACCTGGCAGCAAGTTTGTAGTTTTCCAAATCTTTCTTCAAACTGATATTCTCAGCCTGCAGTTGCTGGTTGTGGCTGTACACAGTTGGAACCAACCCAGCATCTTTGACTGTGAGCACACCTCTCTCTATCAGTTCATACCTAGTAAAAGAGAAACAGAAATTTTATTCCCCATTTCCATTTTCTCACTTCACTGATGTCTGCCTTCTCATGCTACCGTTTACCTAAAGTAGAATCACAAGGATATTTATCACCTCAAGGCATTTGCCTTCTGTGATCATTAACAATTCACAACAGTGTTACCCCACCACACTGTTCTGTTTTACTGCTTTTCATTCTAAAATGTGTATTGTTCATAATATTCATGACATATAACACAGCACTTAAAATTAAACAATTCTTCCCTTCCTTTCTTTTAAACAGCTTAAAGAAAAGACAGAAACAAATGTTCTTTTTCAAATAACATTTGTCCTTTTTATCTCATATGCTTAAATATATGCAAGATTTTATTTCTTTTTTTTTTAGGACTCAAATAAGCTGCAGATAGCTCAGAATCCATGATCCTCATTATCTTGAACATGAAACACAGAACTCAACTAGGGAAATTCCCGCATTCCTTCCTGTTTACTTACTTCCCCTCTCCTTGTTTAATTATATTTACTGCTATTTACCTGTTCTACCAGCCCCTGAGAAAACACCATCCCGTGCTGTAGAAGCCTGAAGGCTACTTTATTTTAGTTAAATACTTGTACAGACTAACTCGGATTTTGGGAAGTAAAAGAGAATCCGAAGCAGCCTGAAATGTTGGGTAGCAACACAGCAGCCTCTACAGCCCCAGAAGGAAAACCCTCCTCATGGAGAGTCCTAAAATATGATACTCAATCTCGTGGCAGGATATCACCAAGAGCTAAGGACACAGTACAGACACAGTGAGACCTCAGCCAGGACATCAGCTCACCACAGGTTGAATGGAGTTATAACCAACTACAATCACACAAAGACTATAACCCCACAAGCATCTTCCCTGCTGGGAAGACGTTCTGGGTGGCAACTTACTGGAAGGATCAATATGAACGTTATCACCCTTCTCAGGTGAAACATATATTCAACCTGTGCATTATTTTGTTTCCAAGTGATAAGGAAGTATGAAAACAACAGCAATAAATAGAAATAAAAATGATATGAAATGCTATCTCCCACACCTGGGCAATAGCACCTGATCCTGAACCTGAAGCCAGTAAGCACAGCATTCCTTGATCATAACCAGGTGGCAGAAAAAAAAGCATTTCTAGAATAAGGGATTCTTACTTGACAAGCAACCTGTACTAAACATCCTCCAGAAAACTTATGGGGAACATTAGTAATTCTGTTCAAATGACTTCCTACAGTCAACTACTTATCTGCATTCTGTGGATACTTTTAGGAATGCTCATCCCTATGAATTAAGCTGTCACATTCACCACCAGTAGATGAAAGGTTCTTGAAAAATTAAACTGAACATGTCCAAAGCAAAATTCGTTCCATCATCACTTCATTTTCTTAAGTAAATTACAGTAGGAACAGGCTTTAATACCAAAGAAGGAAGCTTAGTTGTGTTTTGGGTTTTTTTCCAAATAAACATTGACTGATGCACAGGTACAATTCCTACCAGAAATACTTCAAATAAGGGCACCTCTGATGGCAGCAGATCACAACTCTACATGCTCCTTAGCTTGCCACTGAATGCCTTAACTACGCTTTATGAAAACCATCAAATTTCTGCCTGAAGACTCCAACACGGATAACTGATGAACTCTGACTCCAGCAGAGCTAAGAACTCTGAAAGACAATTTCATGGAACACGATTAATAGCAATAAACTCACTAACACCCTTGTCTAAGAACACTACTAAAAATGAATGCTTTGGGCATGTAGCAGAAATGGAAAACCACACAACAAACTGTATTGTGAAATCTCATTATCTTTCATCAACCTAGTCCTGTAAAATTTACAGAACTCCTACACACCGAGCCAGCTGCCAAAGAGCTCCTGTTCTCACCTCTCCCCATTACACGTAGAAATTAAATTAGTTCTCTGCACACACAGGTATTTTACTCAGCTTTTCAGAACTACTGAGTTCTTATTCTTGAATTGCTATTTAGAATTAACCAAACCTGGAAACCAAAGAACAGATGGTTAACTACGATTTTGTGATCAAAGCCCAGTGCAGACTGACTAAAAATATGTTATTACTGTATACATTATAACTCCTACAAACTTGAACTCAAAGGAATCACCTTGCAGAGAGGTCCTGTGATGAACTAACTGATACATTGCTCAGAGTATCCCTCTGCCAAGGGACAGATCACCTAGAGATGCTTTCAGGGATTAAAATCTCAACTTTTAGTTCTTACAAGAACTTCTCAGTGAAAATTATAATCTAAAGATGACAAAACTACAGTTTGACAGAAGGATAAGAAATGAGCACAGGAAAAATAAAGCATTTATTTTACGGAAAATTAGAAATTAAAAAAATAATTTAAGTTTAAATTTCATTAAAGTACAACTGGAAGAAAAGAGTTTACGTGCAAAACAACTCACATAAGTAAAAACAAATAAATCACTCTAAGTGTGATAAAAGTATTCATTACTTCATTGAAAAAAGTAGGTTTGGTTAAAAATGAAACATAATCAAATCACACTTTATACAACTGGATACAATAATAGAATGTTTTCCCAAACTCTGAAGTAAACACACAGATAATTTAGTCCAATTTAAGTGACCTTTAGATCTCAGACAGACAATAATTTCAAAGCAAGCCTTTTGATAAATTTTCTCTACATTAATTAATTTCTCATTTTAAATTCCATTAGTACTTGATCACCACAGCATGAGAGCGAGAGTGTCGTCCCAATACATAATGAGGAACCCAAGTACACTAATCTGCTCTCACTTTCATTAATATTGTAAATTATCTATTTCAAACCAACATGAAACGTTTCGAAATAAGGTATTAATGCAGAAAGTCTCACTACAGCAAGATTACATACTGACATGCTGAGCTCATTTGTAAAGCTACTGAAATTAAAAATATTACTTATAGAGCAAAAAAAAAAAATATATGTACAGCTAAGGATTTACAAGATAGGGCCTCTAAGACCTGCACTCGCTCTGTTAAAAAGCAATTTGAATTTTGCCATTGATATAAATTCAGACTAAGTGCTTCAAAGAAAGTCGCAGCTGCATAAAAAGGTCACTATTTATATCTGTCTAGTATTAATTATCTTTTAGCATAAAAACTGTTAAACTTTAAGCTTAATGCTATTCATATAAGCTCTTTGGTTGAAAAAGAAAACAGAACCATAGCGCTGCTTCTCCAAGGAATCATTTAGGTCCATTGTTATGCTATCCAAAAGCTGATCATTATTAATTTCAAAGGCAGTGCCCGATTGGTGAGCTCTACACAAGTGAGACCAGAGCCTTGCAAATGACAGCAACGATTCCCCCATCACAAAATATTTCTAAGAAAATTTAAAAAGCTCCAGGGGTTTTGTAGGAAAAAATAAGACGTTTCTAACTTTTTGCTAATTTTCAAATTACACAGTTTCAAAAGACCTTATTAAAAAAATAATCTCTGAACTGCTCATGTTTAAAAGTGACTACAAGGTAATTCAAAGAGAGGTATTTCCACGTTCCAGAATTAGTCCAAGGTAACCTCCAGATTCAAAGCAACCTTGTAACTCAAGAGTATTTCAACAGAACTTTAGCAAGTGTCATCTTTTGCTCCTAAAAAATTCAGCTCCCCTCTCAAGCTTTGCAGCATTCCTTGCACATGATTTTTAATCAATGCTAAAAATACACATCCTGTGGGAATCCATATATAAAGGGAATGAAGAGTGGTACATTTAGGCAAAGTTGCACAGTTAAACTTCTCAACAAAGTATGAAAAAATTCCTGCAATCTATAAAAGATTGAAAAAAGAAGAGACAGCAACAGCTCAAGAGTTTACTCTGCTAATTAGTGTATGAATTAAAAAGAAAAAAACCTCAAACCAATCCTATTATATTGACAGATGTACCAAAAATTCCCAAGTATCAAATATTTTGATTATACTACTTAAAATAGAAGGTAGCTATGATGAATGCCCAAACCCACTCAATTAAGAAGCAAACACTACAAACTACTTGTTCTTAAGCAGACACTCATGTTCTGGAAAGCAAGAAAAACAACAAAACCATGGGATTTCCTGGCAGTGCTGAAGTGAAACAGCAGTCCTTTTGCATTGGACTCTTTTGATCCCATGGTAATTTCTGCACTGTACCTGCTTTTAGTTTTCCTTGGTAGACACTGGAGAGCATAACAAACTTGCAAAAATAGAAATGAGTTTGTCCTAGAGGAGATGGCAGAAGGAACTCAGATGAGTTGTACCCTGAAAAGGAGTATTTCTCTTCTCTGTTCACAGAAGGCCTCCCTCAGGTAAGAACTTCAAGCTTCTAAGGTATGTGGAGTTTGGTGAAATGCACACATTCCTTCAAAGGTACCTGTTTAGGAGCTCCCTGGAGTCAGCTTTCCTCAAAGTCTGTCCTTAAAATAGGAGTTTGCATCCTCATTCTCACTATGAATATATTTATTTGTTAAAACACTAGATGGACTTGTACTTCGGAGAGTTTTCTGAAGACATATCCTGAAATACTGAAAACATTTGAATCCTGAGCCTCTAATTCCCAAAGCAGCATGGTCACTTAAATTATTTTACCATTCAGTTTGGAAGCAGTCAAGGGTTCTGGACATTCCCAATCTGACCAGGAAATTGCAGAAGAAATCATCCATTGCTTCAGGTATTTCACACACTGATTTCTCAGAAGTCAGAACTGATTGCGAAGTCTGAAATTAAAAATTTTGATAACTGTTACTAAACTTGCAAGAGAAATGTCATGATCATAATTGCTATTTCTGAAGTCAACTAAAGTCACAGATCTACTGGAGTACAGCTAAATGTTCTCTTGTGTTCATAGATCAGATGTGTAATCATTGCTCCTTCTAATCTCAAGGTTTGTCAAAGGTTAGAAAGAAAACTCAAACCCCACCTTATTTAAGCAAGTATTCTGAACCTGACACAATGTGGTAGAGACTTGAAAGTATTATAACTGGTTGATGATCTGCCACTTACCAGAGACAAAACATTAGTTCTCATACTCTGCACCCTTCAGTAACCTTCACAACTACAGATAAAAACAAAACCAGTACTCATCTAACAGAACGTGTACAAGTCCAGAGTGATGGTAAAATGGCTTTCTGTAATGATGTAAACAATGTAGAGACAGAAAAAACTGCCTCTCCATCACTAGATCTCTTAGCAGTAAATCTCAAAGATCAACTCCCTTCTCTCAACATCCCCCTGAACAGTGAAGAAGCTGCCAGACAACACTGCTACAAGCGTTAGCAGAAGGCAGATGGTGCTCCAAGGTTTCACGTGCAGCTTCTCCAGTGCCATCAAGACAGACAGCCCTGCAGATAAGGTGAGCTCACAGGTCAGGCACGGTTGCCAAAAGCAGAATCAAAACAAAAACAGAGCAATCCTACTACAGAGAGAGGAAAAAAAAAAAAAAAACAAACCTATCCCTTCCACAGCTTTCTGTTGCAATGCAAATCTCCTTGCTTCACCCAGCCCCATTCAGCACACAGCTTGACATTGAGCTCTCCTGGAGAAGGCCAGACACAAGGAGGCACCGAGAAAAGGAAAAGTGGAACTCACTACTCCCCACAAAATGCATTTAAATGTCACAAGATGAGAGAGACTGCCACAGCTCAACAGCCAAGGAGGTGGCCTTCATTCTCAAGTCAAGTGGCTTGCAGTGACTTGATGTACCTCGGTGAGGGTCTCTGCACTTGGGGACTCCACACTGGCACAACACCCCAGTGGATCTACTCAGCAATGCAGTTACTGGGACAAGCTACTGCACTGCACGTGCCTCTCAGTGAGAAACTATAAAAAACGCCCACAAAACTGAAAAAAAATACCACTGAGAGATTTATCAAGGCATGCTGAAGGGTGAGACTGCAAATCATTTTCTCCACCCCTTTTAAAATAAAAAGGATCTGTAGGCCAGGGATTTCTGATAAGACCATTCATTTATGGCTTATTCATGCCCTTAGTGGGAGCTCTATCACCATGACTGCATAAATTACCTGGAGATAAAGGTATTTCTCTTGATAAAATAAAAACACTGCGAAAGTCTCACAGCATGTTGTGTAATACAGAAAATGTTGCCTTCATCTCGAGCAGCCTACCTAACATAAACAGGAAGGACTGTGCATGTACAACCGAGACCATTAACACTGCATTATGACTGATACAATATGCCAAGCGCAATGTAATATTTAGCATATTTTCATTACTGGAACTCCAGCACATCAGACAGGTCTATTTTCTAATTGTGGTGATAAAAGAACCAGAGTTCATGGGCAGACATGCAGCCGCAGCCCTCGGCTGGCTTTTTTTTCTTTCTTTATTCCAAGCGAGGCAAACGTTGCTTGTCGTTTTCCAAACATATCTACAGAGATGGTCTTCAGAAGAGGTGACACAGCTTGATTCCCTCAATAAAGGGAAATACGATAGGAATTCATTCCATCCATGCAGAAGAGAGTTTATTAGCGAGGTACCACCACTGAAAATCATCCCAAAGTTCAAGGGGGAAATTAATTCAGTCTAACACGCACAGCATGGGAACAGGGCCTCTGGAAACCAGAGCTCAACTCCTGGCTGGCTCTTCTGCAGACTCAGAGTGATACCAGGCCAGCCACTTGCTTCATTTTAATTGTAACTATGGATGACTATCAACAGAATGGAAAAACAGTTAATTTTTGGTATATATTTAGCTATTTCTAAATGAGAAAACCACAATCAATAAACACAGTGCAAACAGACATCTTATAGCAGTTCTACAGACAAAACTACCTTATCAAAGGATTCTGACCATGACGTTAAAACTAAATATTTGCTTTGTTAAGTATTTGTTTAATATTTCTTTGTTTTAATTAAAGTATTGAAAACATGTTGGGTGTAAGGACTCTAAGTATGGTCAGAAAAATAAATTAATTGCTAAGATTGTAACCTTAGAAACTTCCACAATACTCATAAGAATTTCTGCCAGCTGAAGAAATAGAAACACCAAATAAATTAATAATTTCCCTGGAAAACAAAATAAGATGTTCTTGAAAAACTAACTAAATTTAAAAATAATTCAAGGATCTCAACACCTTCAAAAATTAAAAGTCAAACACATGAAATGAACATACATGACTGTCAACATTACTTCAGGTTATCGTTTAAGACATGAAGAAACAGATTCTGGAATATCTCTTCTATCTATCTAATCTATAAAGTCTAACAGGTGTAACTATTGAAGACAGTTTTCCAATCAGCTTTCTTCTGTGTGTGTGGCTTTACAGAAATTCTGGATCCCTTTCCTAGGGTCCCTAGCAACTGAATATTTTCTTTCACACAAGTCAGGTCAGAAGTTAGAGAATATTCTGAGTTGAAAGGGACCCACAAAGATCACTGAGCCTATATGCAAAATACTTCTTGCTTGTGTTTCAAAATACTGTATTTTACTTGAAATTGTCTCCAAAAAACAACAAAACAAAACAGAAAAACAGAAAGAAATCAAATGTGTTGTGCTCAACAAGGACAAGCGGTGACCAGAAAAGGGAGAGCAGGCAGAATCACTGCACTCCAACACATGTGGTGCCCAGCACAGCTGTATTTTGAGCTGCCATTTCACCACTAGACAAGAGGGAAATGATATTTAGAGACTAGAGCTCCAACACCCTCATCTCCCTGTAGGGATCCAAACAAAAACCATGAACTAACCGCTTAAGGGAGTCTCATCAAAGTCCTTGGAGACCAGTAGTTTCCCCAGATCCACGCAGAGACCCAGGAATAAAGAAAACATGCCTCAATATCCCCCGCAGAAAACCAGTTTTAATTCCTAGACACCAGTTTTATCCTTGCTAAAGGTGAATATCACCATCTCTCATTTGCTCCCTCCTTCATTTAGTAAGCAGTGCTAATTACTTTGGAAGGAAGTTCGAAAACAAGCATTTTTCTAAGATTTTCCCTGTTATCCTTGACCTTTTTGTAGAGCATAAAACAAACTGCAGTGACTCGATTTAAAAACTGTGGATATTCTCAGTATCTGCAGTACAAAAATATCAAATATTTCTGGATAGTCACTTGATCTGTGCCTTCTCTATATAATTTCTTTAACAAAGATTTGCATCTACCATTGAAATGCAATCTTTAATATGGGATTACACATACAAGTTAATACGAACAGCAAATACACACCATCACAACTATCAGAGTAGCTATTCCAGGATATGGTTCTTAAATAATTTAACCTATTTTAGCCAAAATTACAAGCTTGTAGTTGAAAAAATGTACCACGTTTCTTTATGCTGTGAAGAAGACAGCCTCCTGCTGTGCTTCTTAGCTCAGAGTTTGATGCTGATTCAATATTCATTCACAGAAGACAGCGCTTCTAACTCAGGTCACCAAAAGCATTTGCTGCAGCCCTTGGTTTTTCCAGTGAATTAATATCAAACAATCCAGTCACTGAGCCTCACAAAACGTACAGTAAATCGTTATGAATGCTGTCAAGGAACTAGCAAGTGTATTGGAACGTTTTTTTCCTATTCACGTCTTTCTCTCCAAAGGCTGAAAATATTATTTCAGTTTCAAGATTATGGAAAAAAAAATGAGGCCTCCAAATAACAAGTGAAGCAGCAAGAGTGCAGACACCAATTAGCATCATCTCAAAATCAAAAGGGAATTTGGGTCTGAGCACACAGGTTCTTCAGAGGTGTTGAGGAAAGGTAACAGCTTCTCCAGTCTGATTAAATGGGATCCACATGAACACACTGTTTCCTCCCACTCCGGGTTCAACAAATAAATGAAGACGTAAAAGATTATTTAAATATGCCACTGTCAAAAGATCAATAGGTTAAAAATACTCTTCCTTTTTTTTTTTTTTCCACTTTGCATTTTAATGTTAACTCACAGAGTAAAACAACCATAACCTCAGTTATCCCTGAAGAACACGAATTTCCCCTCCTTCCTTAACATTAAGCACGTTCAGTCTCAAACACTTGTGCCATATTCCCATTAATTTTCAGGTATATTCACTTTCAACACACATAAAACTCTGGTATTGCCAGTTTCCATTCCAAGTTTGATATAAAACACAAAACTTATCTGTTGATAGGCACTAGTGCAGAAGAAAATGCACATTTCTCCCTCCATTTTTTACTTTTGCAAAACAAAGACTACGACTGCACCTTTCTGATGAGAGTACAAGGCAGTGGTGATATGAGAAGCACAGCAGAAAAAAGCGCTTTTCCATTAGATTGCTATAAGCAAGTAAACCCAGGTAAATCGTATTTTAAAAAATGCAATATAAAAATCCCATTGTGTAACTCTAAACTGTGACATGACTGCTTTGAAATCAAACTGCAAACGTAAGGAACGCCGAAAAATAACGGTGTGAAATGACTGATAATTTAATTAATATTTGGATTTAAGTGTAACAATCCATTCCTCATTTTTCATAAATGAATAACCCCTTTTAGCTAAGTATTCAAGTACCACCCTTTATGGGTTTTAAGCATATGCCTTCCTGTGCCAGGGATCATACTGCCATTCAGTCTACTCAGATAAAGGACAAACCCTAAAATACCAATGCACTGTAATAAGATTAATATATTTTAAACAATCCATCTATATATTTGCAACATCAGGTTGTTTATGGAACATAAAACGATCACAAATTAAATGAAGATGAAACCCAGGAAACTTAAGTTGCCCTTTCCACCATCACATACGTTGACTCCTAGAAACTTATAAGCAAATAAGAGACAATCTTTTCTACACAAATATTTAATAATCCATACAAATTATGACATGTAAATTTCAAGCCACTAATGCAAACTGAATTGCAGACTCTAAGAACATTTTAGGAAGTTCTTACTAAAATTTGAGCATCTTCAGCCTGCTCTTGAATAGCCTGTAAAGCCGTGGACAGATCCTCATCCTCCTCCTGAAGACTAAATTCATCTGCAGAAACCTAAACGAAATTAGGCAAAGTTTGGTATCAACATACATTCTACATCTTTCTTTCACAGTACAACTGCTCCCACTCCCCGTTCAACTGTGGAAAATAATTTCCTTCTCGTTAAAACACCCCTTTGCTGTATTTAAATAGAACATATATTACTGAAATATTCATTACAGATTATACAAAACATCTATATGTATTTTAAAGACAATATTTAATGTTCAAACAAAAGTATTACATAACAGATCAACCAACACTACATCTTCCCTTGAAAAATGAGGGCATGCCTGCCATCAGCACATTTAATAAAGGAGATGTGGGTCATTTCTCCCAGGATGTTTATGTGACTGATGAAGCAAAACAAGAGAACAATATTGAATACCAAACATATCAGAACATTATTAATTTATAAGTTACCTCTTCACACTGATAATCATCTTTAGAGTCATCTGTTATGGTAATGTCTGCAGGTTTTGTTAAGGCTGAAACAGCTGATGCAAGTGATGAGTTCCAACTTAGAGAAAAGCACCATAAACCAACCATCTCTAAAGTTGTTTTCACCACCCTCACCCCTGTTCTTTTCAACTTTCAAGGCTTCCTTCAGCTTTGAGGTGAGCAAGCTCAGCTCCAGTGCAAACTGTGTGCAAAGAGACACAGAATTTAGACTGAAGTTCTTATAGCAGGTCTGAAAGTCTTAAAATTTGAGGCATCAGATCTCCCCAAGACCAAAGCCAAGCACTGTTCCAAATTAAAACAGCAGCTACATTACCCTCTCACCCAATCATCAGTTTTGAGAGGGGTCTTGCTGTACTGGGACCTCCACAGGCTTTGTGACTCCCAGCATGACAAACTTCATGCTCACACAAAAACAGCCTTTTTGACAAATTCAGATGTACAAGTCCAAACATGAACACTTGAGACCAAACACTAAAGAACCATTTACCAGAAGTGATGCAAATGCCTTAATAATCACAGCACATGTACAAGGGCCTTTCAAAACACAAAAATCCATTTGGAAATTATCTACGGCTCCTTCAAACGCTTTAAATTTTTCATAAAAAGTAACTACAGATAGTCTAAAAATGAAACCCAAATAAACATCTTTTCATCCACTAGCCTCACAACCCATGAAAGTACAGTGAAACGTTTTTAGCAAGATGCTGCTGACAGCTTCCCTAGGAAATCAGTTAGCCTACGAGTGACCCACGTCAATAAACCAGAAATTAACTTCCAAAGAAAAGAAAAGCTGGCGATTCGGTACTTCACACACAGACAAACAAACAAATAAAAACCCAACCAACCAAAAACCCACAAAAACCAAAAACCAATAAACAAACAAAAAAAACACAAATAAAAAAAACCAGAAAAAACACCACCACAAAACATGATTTTCCAGCTTTGCACCAAGTTGCTTAGATTTGGATTATTCTCCTGAAAAAATTAGTCTTTTGCCCTAGTTCTCACACAGCAATATATATGTCAAATTACCACCTGCCTTGATGACCCCAGATTACATCATTAGAAAATGATCAGTTCAATGGTATCCATCTCAAAGGTGAACAGCTGAAGGTCATGATCCCTTGATAAGTAAACTTTCAAATTCTGTGGTTTTTTTCCTGAATTTCCTACTGACCTGACTGACCCAGTATGGTCCAAACCAAAGTGTCATTACAAACACTGTGCACAGACTTAAATACTGCTTTAAAATCCTGGGGTTTTTTACCTTTTTTTCCAAATATCATAATCGGGTGTACTCTAAAACAGAACAATTAACTTTAAAAACTACTGTATTTCCCAACAAAAAATATTAAATCTTACTTTTAAACACATGTCCAGAGATAGAGCTTTTTTAAGCACACCACACTGAAAACAGCTGGAAAAGGACAGTCTTCAACCTTTTTAAGTTGCCTCTATACTGGCTTACAACTTAATTTTACCAAGGAAGAAAACCCCCAATGTACAGCAGGGTCTAACGTGATCCTTTAGCCTCTAGAACAAAGCTTGAAAAAGCTCCTTGATTTGCAGCTTGAGCCAGGAAAGTGAGCAGATAAAGCTCATCTGGCCAAACTAGAATTTCAGTCATCTGACCCAAAAAAATTGCACATTTGAAGGTCATACACTCCCAAGATAATTTCCTACAACTCAAATGTGATAATAGGGTGGTTTTTTTTGCTCTAAAAGCTACAGCAAACAAAGTTGTGTCTAGGTTATGATATCGCAGCCCTTACAACTTGGTCATACTAAGTACAAACTAAACCCACCCATCTTCAGGCAGCTGGAAATCAAAGGAGCACCTTTTCCAGAAGTGCATTGGGACAGTCAGTCTTAAGAACAAACCTTTCACTTCCCCGTAGGTATTTCACATTTAGTGACCAACAGCTAACACAGGAGAGGGGGCAAGAGCCCCTCACGTAAGGAATTTCACCCTTGCTGCTGCGGCTGCCCCATCAGCAGTGGCAGATGCCATTCCCCTGCTTTCCCAAAGGGCGCTCGGGGACCCCGAGCTTCGGCCAGGGGAGCAAACAGGGGGTAACACTGAGCAGGACCCCACTGCGGGGTTCAAACCCCAAACCCCACATATTCATTGAACCACTGAGGCTGAAAAAGTCCCCAAAGAGCATCCAGTCCAGCTGTTAACCCACCACCACACTCATATTCATCACTTCAACCACGACCTCGCGTGCCGCCTCCACGCGGGTTTTTTAGCACCTCCAGGGATGGCAGCCTGCGCCAGGGCTTGACCACCGCGGCAGGGACGAAATCTTTCCTAAAATCCGAACTAAACCTCCCCGGCGCAACTTCAGGCCGTTTCCTCTCATCCTGACCCTCGTTCCCTGGGAGCAGAGCCCGACCCTGCCCCTACTCCTCCCTCCTGTCGGGGAGTGGAGAAGAGAGAGAAGGTCCCCCCTGAGCTCCCCCGGCTCCCTCAGCCGCTCCCGCTGCTCCAGCCCCTTCCCCAGCTCCGCTGCCTCTCTCGGGACACATACAGCCCCTTTTCAGTTACCAGAGGCAATAACCCACGGAAAGAGCCAACAAGCCGGCGGGATTTTTGAGTTCCCCCCGACCCTTACTCTCACACGCCCCTCGCCCCGCCCGACCCTCCCCACAGCAGCCGCCGGGGCCGCCCCGCCTGAGGCGGGTGGAGAGCTGAGGAGACGGACCCCCTGAAAGAGGGCAAGCGGCACCCCCAGCCGAGGAGAAGGAGGGTGAGGAGGAAGGGGGAGAGACTGGGGAGGAAGAAGGATACTCTGCAGGCAGAACGCCGCCTCAGAGCCGGCCGCCTCCTCCGCCATGGCCGCGGCGTTGCCGGGGGCGACCTCTCGCGAGGAGAAACGCCCGAGCCACGGCGGGAACAGACCCCGGTTTAATTTAATTTAGTTCCGTTCAATTAAGCTTAAGTTAAATCAGCTGGTTTAGCTCGAGCCGAGGCTCCTCGCGGGTTTGGGAGTGGCGCCGTGAGGGGCGCGGTGTCTCTGGAGGTTTCCAGGGCGTTCCCTCGGGGCCGCCACCTGAGACCCTTCTGGTAAATTCGCACTGCCCTTCCTAAATTAAGCAAGGAAAACGGCAGGAGATGAGGGGGAAGTTGCTTCAAACTCCCGGGAAGGGACTAAATTCTTCTTTGGAGAGAGTGTTTATGTAGCTGGAACAGGTGTTTCCCCAGAGCTCAGTCCTGTGGGACTGACTGCTTAAATTAAGTCCCTTCAAGCTATTCTATAATTCTGTATTCGATTTTAAGAGCAGCAGTTTTCCCAGGCAAGAGTTTGGGAAAGCTGCTTAAATTTGTGGAGAACACACGTTATGGCTCTCTGGAGTTTAAAATAAAGTTGCAGGATTCGACAAAAAAATTTCTGTTCCTTTTTCTTATTTTAAAATAAGCTTAGAGGTCCCAGTTCTAAATTTTGATCGAGTTAAGGGGTTTTACATGCAATAGGAACTCAGAATCAGTGCTTGAATTCATGTAACATAACAGAAAATAAGTGCCCAAAATATGGGGGGGGGGGAGGGGGGAAGTAATTAAAAAAGTGCTAATAGGTGGGCTGACAGGAGAGGCACCGGTTTTGCTTGCAAGGTTAAAAAAAAAAAAAATCTAAGAATTGAAATACAAACTGAAGATCAGAGAAAATGGAAGTGGGTGAAACTTGAGTTGGGTAATTCAGCTCAGTCATGAGCTAGAAAAGACAAGATGCAATCCTGCAAGAGGGCCTGCTGCCTGTGGAACTATTATTTTAGCACTTTCCAGAGATGTTCACCCAGGATTCCATTCCTCTCCCATAGCAGACATATTCTTGAGAAATGACGAGTACTTTGGCACTGTCAAACTCTCCCAACTGTAATAAAAGAACAGTGTTTGGGCACAAGATTGTCACAACAGTATGAAGGTGACAAGATATTTTGTATTCCCTCATAAATTCTCTCAAACGCTATGTTGAGTTTGATACATGTCAGGATTTAAATTCATCTGGTTTCAAGACATGAAGGGCAAATGCCAACCTAGCTTTCTTGGTCTTGATGGTTGGTGTTTGGGTTTTTTTTATACTCTTCAGAATAAAGTGATGTGACTGGAGCAGCATTCTTCCATCATATCCAACCCAACTAAGCATTCCTGAACTCCAGCAGATCATATAAACAAACAAACAAAAAAGAATAAGCAAAAGTAGCATCGTAAAGCACAAGGTCCATGACTCAGTACTTCCAAACTGCAGATTTAAAAGCTGATAATGCCGTTGGGATGGCTACAAAATTCTCTTAGGGAAGTTTCCAATTCCACCGCAAATCACAAAGTGTAACTTCAGTTATGTCATACAGGCAAGCGCAGCTGATTAATCTAAGTTAATACCACTCACTTCTCTCAGCAACAGGTTTGTTCAATTGTTTGTGTAAAGGCTGACAGCAAACAAAATGCTAAGCAGTATCCTCCTCTCCCTTCTCTGAGCTCTCTGTCTCTGCTGGCCTAACTTCTCCCCACAAATTTTTCACAGGGCTTCTCTGTCTCATTAAAACGTGGTAATGGATGGTATCCACAACTGAAGAACACTGATGAAGGCTTAAAGAGGGCTCAGAAGCGTGCTTGAGGGAAGGTTAAGATTAGAAAATAATTAATAATGAAAGACAAAAGGATCTTGGTCTTCTTGGTTTAATCAAGGAATAGTTAAAAGAGCTTGATTAAAGTGCAGGGGTAATAGGTTTGGTAAGAAAGGCTAGACAAAGGTAGAACCATATCAGAGAGTGGGTTTAGATGAGATATTAGGAAGGAATTCTTCCCTGTGAGGGTGGGGAGGCCCTGGCACAGGTTGCCCAGAGAAGCTGTGGCTGCCCCATCCCTGGAAGTGTCCAAGGCCAGGTTGGACAGGGCTTGGAGCAACCTGGTCTAGTGGAAGGTGCCCCTATCCATGACAGGAGGGTGGAACAAAATGGTCTTTAAGATCCCTTCAAACCCAAACCTTTCTGTGATTCTATGATGTCCAGCCATATTGAGAATTAACTCAAACTACAACTAAAAGCAAAGAGCAGGTTTTTTAACAAATACCTATTTGACTGATTTTCGAGTATAATTCCAGGAGGATTTTAGCAGTCACAGAGTTCTATATAACAGTTATGTTCCACAATTCAGACACCAGCTAGTTCAGGACTTCCTGTGGCTCCCATTTGCAAAACAGTCAGAAATGGTCAGTGCAGTGGCACTTTATGAAAAAAGATTGAAGTGAGATTACCTATTCTGCTGTATGTGGAGGTTTGCCAGTATCCTGAAGGATCCATAGAGTTTGTTTACTTTTAAATAAGAGTCATTGGTCACAGAGTGTTATTTCCCAAAGATTTAAAGCTTTGTTTCAAAACAGCCTTTGGTTGGCAAAGTCTAAACTGTTTATGCCATCCCATTGTGACTATATAAATGACCTCATCGTACAATCATTTTCCTTCAAAAGGCGTAACAAGCCAACTAGTTTCTCTCTACCTTGTTCAGAGCCACCTGCCATAAATACATTGTATTTGGTTATTGCTAAGCTGAATTCCAAGCACCCCATTCACCCTGCTTTATAGCCTCATAACAGTCTGGGTTATAAATGATTATCATCTCCCAAATGGCAGCAACTAGTGCTGTTACTGTATCCCATAACTTCTGGTGAGAAAGACACAGAAGCAGCATCTGCTGGAACTTGAGCATTTCATTAGACAGGCTGTTTACTTTTCTCACAGAGGAAAGGCTGAGCCGGGTACTTTAGCCAGATCTATCAGCCAGATAGATCAGTCAGAGTATTTGAGAAAGATCATTCATGAAAACGAGATAAACTGGAAGGCTCCCAAAGTGTTGCCTTGTGCTCCCAAGCCCTAAGGGCCAGGTCCTCTTTCCTTTACACCACCAACTGAAAGACTGAGACTGACTCCCCCACACCCAGTTCTAATTGTTCTTCAGCACAGTTTTGAGGAGAAAGGACAAGGCAATGTGACCATTTCAGCTTTCTGAATGAGCAGAGAGCGTGGCCAGGAGCACTGTAAGAGCAGTGTGATGATTCCAGTCGAGAGACCATTGTCCACACGGTCGTGGTGGAGCACGGGACCACAGCTGGAAGCCAGAATGAGTTGGCAAACATCTCGATCCAACTTCTGCTGTGCCATCTGGCTTCCAGTGAGGTGACTGACGTTAAATGTATTTTCTCTGTATTACCATCTGGCAGCTGCTTGTACGACAACAGAGCAACATGCAGAATTTGGCTAACAGTTATCCTAAGAATCGCATCAAGGGTACTCGGAACAGACTCGGAAATGAAAATGGCTTACAAGGAAAGTTTGGTTAACTGGTGACATTACACACACGGAGTATTGCAGGTGGGGAACAGGGAGGGGGAAGTTATGAACCCTTATGTTTTGCATTTTACAAAGTTCCCATCCCAGTTTCTAAGGGAAAGGAGGGGACACCCATGCAGGTTTCCAAAGGACACAAACATTGTAGCCAACAAAAAGTCTGTTCTTGAGCAGCATTTTTGCTATGCTCTGGAAATACTTTTCCAAAGTTAGAGAGATGCAGTACTTGTTTGTTGTTTGTTTGGTTTTTTTTTGCTCTTTTTCCCCCTAGTTTTATTTCTAGCTGTAATGTTGTATGCCAAAAGTACTTTTGATAAAAGAAGGGAATTTAAGGAATTTGTTAGTACAAACACAGTCTCAAAGATGTGGTACTTAAACATAAAGCTCATCTAAAAACATCAGGATTGCCAAATGCAGTTTAACTACAGTGCAAAGCATTATAATAATACCTGTAATGCCAGGCCTTCATCTTTATAAAGGTCACATTTGCAAAGCTTAGGGGCCATAGTAACCTTGCTGAGCTTTAAATGTAACAGAATGGGGTTCTTCAAAAATTGGAGTAGGATTTTCAATAAATGTGATCCCATGACAGCTTAAATCAATCAGTTTTCTTCTCTACCTCCTGCTGTGCACTCCTGCCTTTTTCCTTGCTCCTGTGCTGGTGCTCACGTGATTCTCAAATAATTAAAACCAAAAAAAAAGCTAATCTGGATGAAATAAAAAGAAAAAGAGGTGGGGGCTAGGTTTTTTGCGTGGTTTTGGGGGGTTTTTTGTGTAAAGTGACCAGTGTTCTCTCCAAACTCCAGTTTTACGAGCACAAAGTTATTTGTGCAGCTTAAAGGGACCGATGATCATCTGTTCCTGGTAATTAGGGACTTTTCAAGTAATATGTTCTCCTCCCCTTTGAAATTAAGTTTAGTGAATATGCCTTTCAAATTTAGGCAACTTGGACCTCAAAGCAGCTTATACACTCCTACTTCAAGCTAAAAAAAAATCCTAATTTTATGTGACAGTTATAAAAAGAAAAGGCATCCGTAACTCAAAATGACCTGAGGAGAAGTGCTGCATTGCCCCAGTCTGTGCTGAGTGATGGAGGCAAGAACTGAGATGCCAGCATGGCCGAAAACACGTGAGCTAAAGGACAAGCAACACAAAAGCAAGCACAAATTATTCCTTTTGCTTATTTTACCATGGTTCCAGGTACTTCACTGCTTGTTGCCCAGGTGATGCATCTCCAAACTGGAAGCCTGGATCTCGTACCAATAATTAGCACATGCCCGAGTAATTTGAGCTGGTTTGGTTTTGTTGAAGCACACAGTTATTTTGAATACACGTAGTAAAACCATAAATTATTCAAAATAACTGTGTGCTTCAACAAAATCAAGTTTTGTTTCCTTCCTTTTGTTTCCTTCCTTTTTGCTTTAGTCTTCCCTATTCTGACCAAGCATTTCCATTGGTGTTTTAGCAAGTTTGACAACTCTTGGCTATTTCTTCAACACGTATTTTCAGAGATCAGCCTAGAATAAGCTGTGTATTCTTGTTCTAAGAAAACCAGGAAATAACACCAAAAATAAAAGGTCTGAAAGGTCGCAGAATTTGATACAACATGAGCAAAGACTATCAGGGGATTTGTAGCCCAAAACAACAC